CCTTTGTTTGCAGCCGCAGTCCCCCGCCCAGCCCCCTCCCCTTTCCGCGCCTGAGTGGGGTGCGGTGTCCCAGCGTCCGGCGCCGGGCTCGGCCAGGGCGCGGGACGGTGGGGCGCACACCGGTCCCGGACCCGCAGGTGAGGGCGGAGCCGAGTACAGTCGGGCCCCCGGGGCCTGCGCCCTCGTTCTGCCTCTCAGAAAGCGCGGCCCGCGGGCCCTGGGCCGCCCCTCCCCGTCGGCCGAGCCCCGAAGCTCGTTCCCCGCCCGCACTGCGCGCTCCACCCGCTTTCATTCATTCGACGCATTCCGGGGCGCAGCTGGCGGAGGCAGGGAGGGGAGCCAGGAGGGCTGACCGGGGACCCCCAAGGCGGGAATGGGAAAGGAGGTTCAGCGGGCCCAGAGGCTGCCTGGGGGAGGCGCCCTCGGAGAGGGGACCTGCTTAGACATCTCTCAGGCAAGAATGGGACGCACCTTCCCAGCCGGTCCCAACCTCTTCCCACTCGCCGGCAGGGTCTCCCCCTTCTCCCGGTCAGTCCCTCTTGCTCTCGCAAGTTTCCCATCAAAGCCCAACTTTGCAGGCCACTTGGTGTGGCTTCTCTGCCCCCCAAGTGTTCTGCTTCCCCCAGCAAGCCTTTGCCTGGGTCATGGCCTCCACCTGGGGTGGCCCTGCCCCAACTCCTCCCTCCCACCCTTGTTGGCCCAGGAGAAACGCCATCTACCCCCTGAGAGAAGGAGGAGCTACCGGGATCCTCATCCCTCCCTCCTTGCTGCCTGGGCTTCAAAAAAAATTTGTCATCTAGCCCTAGTCCTTGTGATGTGTGGGGACCCTGTGTGTTACAGACCTGACCTGAGCACCAGAGGGTCATTGTGGCTATAACCTTAAGCAGACTGCCAGGCCCTTCTTCCACAGCACTACTGGCTGGATTCCAAACTCCAACCTTCAGGTTGGTAGTGGGGTGCAAACTTTGTTCCACTCAAGGACCTCAGCTTCTACTCAGCGCCTGATTCTTGATTTGCTTATCTGTGAAGTGGGTGGATAGATGCCCTCTGGGTTGGGAAGCTCCCACTCCTCCCTGGTGATGCTGCCCCTGCCCAGCATGTCCTCAGTGTCCCATAGACTCGCCACCAACCCCCAATCCTTCCCTCCTCTCATATCAGAGAAATAACCCCCTTCCCCAGATGGAATTCTGGGAGCCTCCTCTCCACCTCCCTCCCACTTCCTGTCCAATCAGCCTCCACTGCCTGCTGACTCCAAGCTCCTCATTATCCCTAGAATCCCTCCCTTGCTCTCCCCTCCCTCTCTCTTCTGGATGCCTGCCTTAGCCACCTCACCTGCTTGCCTCCCATTGGGCCCCTAGAGCCCTTCTCTACTCCACCTAACACCTGTTTCTGACCTTGTTCCTCTCACTTAAAGCCCCTCAGGGGCTCTCCATCCTCTTGAGATAAGCTCCGTTACACAGTTGGTCACAAACTCCTACAACCTGGCCCCACCTCACCCTCTCAACCCTCCACTCAATCCTGCTTGGTTCTGCTTTTTCTCTCCCCGCTCTGTCCCAGCATCTTGTCCTGGCTAACTCCATCTTTGAGACATCACACCTCCACCAGGAAGCCTTCTTGGATTGTTCAGCTCTCCCAGGTCCGGGTCGATGCTTCCCTAGGCTGCCCCAGACCCTGCACTTCCCCGCCCCCAGCAATCATCCTCCTGCTTCTGGTTCTGCCCTGTGGCCAGGGGTTTTCTGAGAGCTGGGTTTGCCTGGGGCTGACTTCCACGTCCTCTCTGCAGTCTCCAAGGACACATCATGGCTCCGGAGAGGCTGTGCTTGGCAAGAAGAGAGACAAGCACCCTCACCATGGCTTGGGGTTCCCTGGCTCAGTTCCTGTTGGCCTGGATGGCACTGTCATGTGTGGCGGGTGGCCAGGGCCGCTGGGACGGGGCTGCGGGGCCTCTAAATCCAGGACGGGTGCGAAGGCGAGGTGGCCCAGGTGTCTTGCAGGGGTGCGTGGTTCCCTGGGAGAATCCCCCGGGAGGTGGACTGGGCTGGGCTGTGCTGGGGGAGGGACACCCACTGGACACGCACCGGTCAGGTCTCACCAGCCCACGTGCTCTCCCGAAGGCCAAATGTGTGTGGCTCTCGCTTCCACTCCTACTGCTGTCCTGGCTGGAGGACGCTACCTGCTGGGAACCAGTGTGTCGTCCGTGAGTGCCCTGGAGGTGGGGATGTGGGGAGGGGGTGCTGGGTGCTCTCTTACCTGCTGGCAAATCCAGCTCTTTTTCTTTTTTTAAATAGACTTTTTATTGTTTTTTTCTTTTGGATAGAGCAGTTTTGGATTAATTGAAAAATTGTGCAGAAATTCTAGAACATTCCCATGCACCCCTTCCCCCCGCACATCGCTCCTCCTGTTGTTGGCTGCCATCGAGTTGGCCCTGCCCCTGTGCACAACAGAAGGAAATGCTGCCTGGTTCTGTGCCATCCCCATGACTAGTGAACCATAGAGATTTCATTGGCTGATTTTTGGAAGCCAATCACCAGGCCTTTCTTCCTGGTCTGTCTGAGTCTGGATGCTCTGCTCAGCAGCCAGAAGCACAAAAGCCTCCAGTGATGGGTGAGTGGTGGCTATGTATGAAATACACTGGCTAGGAATCAAACTTGGATCTCCCACCCACATGGAAGGCGAGAATTCCACCACTGAACTTCTTGCTTCTCCTACCAGTCCAGTTGTGGAGTGGACGTAGTTGGGGGCAAGGGGTTGCTGAACTGCAGGAATGGCCCCTGCCTGTGCCCTAGGCTCCCATGCCACCATGCCACGTTTGTTTCCTTTGCCTGACAATGTTCCCATCTCTCTCAAATCTGACTCCGCTCCCCGGAGGCCACTGTTCCCTGCCAGTGAGCCAGCATCTCTAGCTCCTGTCCCTGGGCCTCTCCTGTGCTGGTCCCAGGATGCTCTCTCCCAATGACTCTAACAGAAACCCAGAGCCACAGCCTGGGTCAGACCATCTGCCCAGCCCAGAGCAAGAGTTAGGGGACAGCCCACATGAAATGGTGCTGTGTGCAGAGCAGGGGATGGCCCTGGAGCTGCAGGCCGGTCAGCTGGGCACCAGTGGGGCTGGGGTGGTGCAGGATCCAGGGGCCTGGCCCTGACCATTGCCCGTCCTGCCCATTCCAGCTGTCTGCCGCCACCCCTGTGGTGAGGGCTTCTGTTCCCGGCCCAACCTGTGCACCTGTTTGGATGGAACGCTGGCCCCTAGCTGCGGGGTGAGCCCAAGTGAGTGGGCTGTGGCTACCCCCAGGGTGGGGAAGAGAAGGTTCCAGGCTTCCACATGCCACTAACCAGGCTGGTTCCCGGTTGCCACCTGACCCTATGTCCTTGTCCCCAGGGACAGGGTGCGGCGTGAGCTGCCTGAATGGGGGCAGCTGCAGAGGGGAGACCTGCCTGTGCCAGAGGGGCTATATGGGCACCGTGTGTGGGCAGCGTGAGTACCCCAGGAGGTCCCCACCCCATCCACGCATGCACCTTCCCACTGCCCATGGGGGCTCTTCCAGGACTGAGGGTCAAGGGGGCACCCTCCTCGCCTCAGTATTGTTGGGACTGGGCCAGGTCACAGAAATGCCTGCTCCTGCCTCATTTCCCTATGCTGCTTGGGGACCTCATGCCCACTCCCTACTTCCTCCACAGCCATCTGTGATCGCGGCTGTCACAACGGGGGCCGATGTGTGGGGCCCAACCTCTGCGCCTGTGTGTATGGCTTCATGGGGCCGCAGTGTGAGAGAGGTACTAAGTAGGGGAAGGGAGGGTGGGAAGGTGTAAAGAGGACGGGGAGGAGCCAAGACAGAGCCAGGCCCTGAAGGGTCTAGCTGGCCTCCTTCCTGCCCCCCCACATGTCTCCTTCTTTTGCTCACCCTGTCTCAGTGTGTCCCCCGGAAATATGTGCTGGAACCCTCACCCCTATACCTGAAGGAAAGAGCCCTGGCAGCACAATGTTAAGCCCTCAGCTACCAGCCAAAAGGTTGGCAGTTCAAACCTACCAGCTGCTCCTCGGGAGACAGGCTCGGCCATCTGCTCCTGTAAAGATTGTTAGGTGCTATCGCGTCGGCTCTGACTCATAGTGACCCTGTGTTCAACAGAACAAAACAGCACCTGGTCCTTCGCCAGCCTCACAATCCTTGCTATGCTTGAGCCCATCATTTAGTCACTGTGTCAATCATCTCCTTGAGGGCCTTCCCCATTTTCGTTGACCCTCCACTTTACCAAGCATGATAACTTTCTCCAGAGAATGGTCCTTTCTGACAGCAGGACCAATGTAGGTGAGATGAAGTCTGGCCTTCTCACTTCCAGGGAGCATTCCGGCTGCACTTCCTCCAGGACAGATTTGTTAGTTCTTCTGGCAGTCCATGGTACTTTCAGCATTCTTTGCCAGCACCATGATTCAAAGCC